CCCTGGACTCAATTACTTTATGGGACTTCCTCATAATAGCCACTCAGTGACACATTCCCTGATTTACAGGTAGGAAGATGGTCACTGGTGCTTGGCTTGTGGGAGAGGTTCATGAAAAAGGGTCTAGATATAATAATTAGTCAAGCCCTCCATCTCAGGTCCTTTGTGTTACAACTCAGATTCCACAGATCTCTTCCCTCATCACCTGCTCTTTTTTCTTTTCTTCTCAACTCCTTTTCCTTTCTCTATTTATTAATTTAATAAATATATATGGAGAGTTTGATTCTTTCTAACATGTTTAAAAATAAAGGATTTGAAGTCCTTAGTTGAAAAGTCTCATGTGAAGCAAAAATCCATATCCCTGAGAGAGCAGTTAATGTCTTTGAAGGAGTCTTCCCACCCCATCAGGACACAGCTTGATGCACTTTCTGAGCAGAACAATCAAGGATTTGTTTTTGATTTTTTCCTATGGGGGTGTACGTCTGTTGTAGCCTAGTTTGGCTTTAAACTCACTATACAGCTGAGTATTTCCTAGGACTCCTCATCCTCAACCTTCCAGGTGCCTGCTTCCTAGGTTGGACTCCCACGTGTAGTCTTTTCTGGCTTGGAACTCAGTCCTGATGTCTGTGTTTGTGATGTTGGGCTTACAGAGTTGGGCAAGCAGGTCTGGTGGGACACTGTAAGCAAAGTCAGAGACCACTGGGCTGGGAGAAATAAGAGGCTGTGGTGACTAAATATTGTCCCCATGCGGTAGAAATCACCCCTAAATCCTCTATCCTTGCATCCTTCTACTTTCAGTATATCTCAGGGTCTCCCACATTCAGACGTGAGGGGAAATGTCATCAGGAGAGCTGGTCTGTAGCTAGTCTTCCAACTCTCTCCTAGGAGGGCTCTGGCCTGTGCTGAGTCTCAATAAACTCAACTACATGGACAATGTGTAGACTTTGCCTTCCTCACCTCCCCACTCAGAGCCTGTGTGCCAGAAGCAGAGAAGGTGACTGAGAGCCCAGCTCTGAGGACACACCTCTCAACCCCACTTCTCCCATGCTGAGCTTTCAATCTGAAACAAACTTCCCTCTCCAGGCCTTAGGTGTTCACCTGTAACACACAGGTAAGAATACTTCCTTCAGTGAACTTTTGTGACGTTAAACTAAAGTTAGTGCAACAATAGCTTGAATGTACAATTGAGCCAATATTAGTTCTTTTTTATTATTACAAAGGTTAGAAAGTCTCCCATACAGCCATATTCCTTCAGAGATAACTCTTCCTTAGTTGTGTGGGGTTTCAGTTAACAAGAGAGAAACAAAGGGTTTGCCCAAGTGTTTTTGGTATCAAAATTGATATCAGACCCTCCTAGGATTCTTCCAATTGCAGCCAGTCAGTGAACAAAAAATGCAGGGTGTATCCTACAAGTGTTAGGGAGGGAGGTTGTAGCACAACAGGGAAGGCTTCCTGGTCTATCTGAGCCCTCTGTGGCCACCATTGGGCACCACAGTGAGCATGGTGGTCCCCCTCCATGATGAGAAGCTAGGAATTTCCTAATATGAGAGAGGCAGAGGCATGCAGAATCCTGGGAGTAAGCATGGGAATTTTGTTCATAGAGAGAGGAGATGGAAGAGACAGCTGTGTGCTGAGGCTTAGTCTCCACAGAGCAGGAGGTTTAGGAATGACCTGTGAACCGGCCTCGAATGACAGGGTTTGGGAGCTCTTAGAAGGCTTTCAGCAGGGACCAGTAGGAACAATATGAAGACTTTGAAAAAACCACTACAGGGCTCACATGAAGAACATGTTGAGGAAGACAAATGCCCAGCACTGAAAAAGGAAAATGGACACAAAGTCCTGCCCCTAAACAAGAACTTATTTCCAATTGATCCCTATCAGGAAAGGGAAAAATAGTTTTCTTCAATAGAGTGTCACTGCCCATATCAGGTACATTCTATGGCTAGCTACATCCTCGGGAGCAGTTGGCCAACAGGAGACTTTCTCCATGGATTTGGTTTTGGTTTGGTATTTTTTTGTTTGTTTGATTTCTTTCTCTTAGGTTTGTTGTTTGTTGTTGTTGTTTCTGTAGCTTGTTTTGCTTTGTTTTGTCTTGAAAGAAAGTGTGGGAGGGAAAAGAGCATGAGAATGAGTGGAGAGGGTCTGGGAGAAGTTGGGGAAAGGAGGGACATGCTCAACTTATATTATATGAAAATAATTTTTTAAAATTAAAGAAAAGACTGTATCGAGGAGAAAAACAGAGGCAAAGGGTAGGTGGAGATGTTGAAGCAGAACTGCTGGGAGAGATGATGGGCTCCTGACCTGGGCTGAAAGGAAGGACAGAGGGCAGGGTCATGAGCAGTAGACTAGTCAGGAGAGGGGATGGGGACAGGGGAAGAGAAGACTGAGGATGTCTAGAAGTCTCTTCCATATTTCTACTGCCATGAAAAGCAATTCCCACCTTAACCATTGTCTTGCTGGTTAGTGTATGAGTGGTGCCCTAATTCGGACTTTTGTGAATAGTGGTTGGAAATTTCCTCTACATGTCTTTCCCTGAGCATGTGTTTCTATGTGCCTTTGTGTTTTACACATTGTTTCAGAACTGTAGTTAACATTTGTATTGCTGGGCAATGCCTTAAGTGTGTTCAATGTTAGGAAACACAGCCAGGCACACACTAAAGGGATCATTTTAATTTACTCTCCCATCAGATCCAGTTACTCTCGTCAACACTAGATCTCTGTGACTGTGGCCATGCTGGTAGGTGTGTGGGGATGTGAGATGGAGAACAGGCAGGTGGGCATTGGCACTGTGGTGTTCTCCTGCAATTTACAGATGAGAAATCGTGCTGAGGACCTGAGCCTCATCAGTGCTCACTAGACAGCTGCCTTGTGAAAGGCCTTTAATATTGTTCACTGTTCCATTGGAGCATCTGTTGTTATGTTTGTGCTTTTCTAATCCTTTCTATAAATATTTGAGTACTCACTTTGCTTATGCTAGATTATTATTTTTCCCTCCATGGAAAGTGCTCTTTTAAAGAAGTCTTACCTTTGTTTCCCTTAAAATGATAAATATATTTATCAATTTGATTTCAAAGCTTTAGATTAAACTCAAGTCCTAAGTACACCCAGAATTGATCATCTGTGTGCAGAGGGAGGTAGGAGTAAACAGGGAAGAAATGATTTTCCTTCTCCCTTTCCCACATGGTTCATCACCCTTCCCTGGGAAGACTCCAGTGTCTCCAGTGCATTGCACACGTGAACCTCTGTCATTACTGTTAGTTATTTGGCGGCACTCTTACCCTGTGAGATAATGTCACGAAACACGACAGAATTCAACCAAGAGTTTTATTAAGATAGGAAAGAGAGACAGACATCACAGGCCTGTGAAAAGACATGTGAATAAAGATGGGGTTGGAAACATGGCGCCTGCTTATAAAGGCTAGCTGTACCTGTGCACACATGCACGTAGATCACATGGTTGCGCTGTGTGCTTTACGCAACCATGCAAAGCCATGGGGTCCTGGTCACGAGAAACGTTTTGACCTGGAAATGGCTAGGCAGAAGTCACTAGGTCCACTGGGCATGCGCAAACATGACCAACCATGGGGGCTGTTGTGAATCCCTATCATCACGGACTCTTGTTTTTTTTTTTTTTTTTTTTTTTTTTTTTTCTAAGAAAAACATGGCAGACGAGTGGGTATAGGGTGTCGTTTCTCTCAAACACTGCTTCCGGCTGAATGATGGGCGTTGGTTGGCTCTTGGGGAAAAGAGGAAGGTGGCTTCTGAAGTCCTGGGATGATGATGGGAGTCCTGGAATGAAGTTCTGCCGTCCCCTTGTTCTGCAGCTGTCCATCCTTTGTGTTGTGGCTGGGAGCCTCTTGTCTGACAAGATACTGGTGACAGAGAAAAAGCTTTGAGAAAAAAGATTCATTATTACTTTTTTTGGAGTTGACATTTATCTGAGGTAGACCTGGCCTTAGTACTCTGCTTAATTTTTACCCAAGACAAGCCTTATTAGAGGTAGTTTATTTAAGACACCCGTTCCCTTCATTAGTTTAGCATTTAGGAAACGCATGTGATCAGTTGCTGAGTATTGAACAATGATAGACTGTTATATTACATTTTTTCTTACCACCTGGGTATCTCTGATGGTACTTTTGCCCCTGCTCTGTGTGGCCCTAGTTGGGAAAGGAAGGGGTGATACCTTATTCCTCTGGAATTGGTGATAAGGCAGTGGTTCCTGAGGTCCTCTGGAGCATGAGAGTACAAGGACCTGTTTGTTTTACTGTATATGAAGAGAGATTTTCCTGGGATGGAGGTGAGAGAAAAGGTTTTAGATGAGACAGGTGGACCCAGTGAAGAAAGCCCTCGAGTTTAGCAGCTGTGGTGGTTACAAGAATTACCTTGAAGGGTCCCTGCCACTTAGAGGGAAGGGGTGAAGGGTGCTGGCCTGGAGAGAGGAGAAGAACCTGATCCCCATGTGGACTGGAGGTAGGCAATTATTGTCACATGGCTGAGGTAATGAACAGTCTCTAAAGCTCCATAGCATAGACCTTAGGTGACATAAAAGGGGAGTTAACAGACTATCTAGAACAGTTGGAGGGTCGGATAAAAGACTTGGTATTAGAACTGGCCTTCCATACATTAGTTCAAATGGAGAAATTGAAAGAGGCTTTTTAGGAAGAGCCCGGAACCTGAGAAGAGCTAGAGGCAATAATCTTACCCAGTCAAGGTGAAGTTCCTGTGACATCTTAGTAAGAATAGTTTTTAAAGACAGGTTGATAGGGTCCACCTTTCCTGAGGATTGAGGATGGTATGGGATATGAAAATGCCAAGGAATGTTAAGAGCCTTAGCTAGTGTCTGAGAAATCTGAGAGGTGAACTCCAGGTCATTGTCAAACTGAAGAGAAGCAGGAACCCCAAACCAAGGAATAATTTCTTGGAGAAGGAGGTCTGCAAAACATGCCAACCATGGGGACTGTTGTGAATCCCTATCAATTACTCATGGGACTGTATGTGTGAGGGCCTGTGTCTGAATGACATGTGTTCTGTCTTCATCTAATGCTTACTCTCTCTCTCTTTCCCCCCACCCCTCTCTCTCCCTCTCTTGGTTTTTTGAGACAAGTTTTCTCTGTGAAGCTTTGCACCTTTCCTAGATCTTGCTCTGTAGACCAGACTGGCCTCAAACTCACGAAGTTCCACCTGCCTATGCCCCCCGAGTGCTGGGATTAAAGGCGAACCCCACTACAGCCTGCCCTAATGTTTACTATATTTTGCATATGTTTGTGCTGTGTGTGTGTGTGTGTGTGTGTGTGTGTGTGTGTGTGTGTGTGTGTTCAGAGACTGATTGGGGATCCTTGCTCAATTGCTCTCACCTTATTCATTGAGACGGTTGGCTCCAGAGCTTCTCATTTTAGTTGGTGTAGCTAGGAGCCTCTTACCATGAGGATCTCTTCTCTCCCTCCCAGGGATGGAATGAGAATGTGAGACTGCATGCAACATGTCATGTGTTACATGGTGTTTCCAGGAGTTCTGAGAGAGGCTTTAGATATTCATCATAGTCCTGAGACATGGGTGTCATCAGCCTCACTTGATAGATGAAGAGACTGGGGTTCAGTAACTTGAGAAGTGCACATGGAAACTGAACAGTGTGCTCAGAACCCAGACCCAGCCTTTCTTTTCTTAATTAAAAAGTATTATTTTTTTTATTTTATGTGTATAAGTTTTTGCCTGCATACATGTTTGTGCACCATGTCTGTCTCTTGCCTGTGGAGATGAGAGGAAACGGTCAGATCCCCTGGAACTGGAGGCACAGGCAGCTCTGATCTAGCTGATTCCCTGGAACAAGAGTCAGTGCTTCTAACTTTGGAACCATCTCACCAGCCTGTATCTTCCCTTTCTTCCTCTATAGCTGGCATGTGTCAGGTGACACATATATGAATGTGATTCTCATACAGGCCCCACCATGTGGATGATTACAGAGAAGAACCAAAGCTGGGTTTCTGAGTTTATCCTGCTTGGCTTCTCCAGTGACCCCATGACCAAGAGCATCCTCTTCATTGTTCCTTCTCATCTACCTATGCTCAGTCCTGGGCAATGGGCTCATCATCATGCTGATCTGCCTGGACACACAGTTGCACACTCCCATGTACTTCTTCCTCTGTGTACTTGCCATGTTGGATATGGGCTATGTCACAACCACCATGCCCCAGATGTTGGTGCATCTTCTTGCTCACTCTCAGACCATCTCCTTTGCTGGCTGCTGGCTGCAGATGTATGTGTTTGGTTCTCTGGCTGCTACTGAAAGCACTTTGTTTGTTGTTATGGCTTATGACAGATATGTGGCCATTTGCTACCCACTGCGTTATACTGTCATCCTCAATTGGGGACTGTGCATTCGGTTGGCAGCTGGGTCTTGTGTCTGTGGTTTTCTCTCTGTTTTGTTACATACTTTCTTCACCATGAGTCTGCCATATTGTGGGCCCAACAAGGTCAACCACTACTTCTGTGAGGGCCCTGCAGTGCGTAGCCTGGCTTGTATGGATACCCACATCATCGAGATGGTAGATCTGGTCTTGAGTGTTTTTATGGGTATTATTCCCATTTCCCTCATTGTGGCCTCCTATGTTCATATTGCCATGGCAATTATGAAGATCAAGTCCACCCAGGGCCGCTGTAAGGCTTTCTCTACCTGTGCCTCCCACCTGACTGTGGTCACACTCTTCTATGTTCCATCCACTTACATCTACATTAGGCCCAACTCAAGCTACTCCCCTGAGCGAGACAAGCAGGTCTCACTCTTTTACAATGCCTTCACAGCCTTGCTCAACCCCGTGGTCTACAGTCTGAGAAACAAAGACATCAAGAGGGCATTTCTCAAGGTGATGGGGCATGGTAGGGTAGATTTGTTAACCACAATTCAGGGGAAGTTGGAGTGATTATCCCTTTTTGGTAAAGAGACAACATCTTTATTTAATTAGCTGTCCTATGCATTTGATCAACATAGCACTTGATAACTAGGTCAATCCACTGTGAAATCAAGGTGGCTATCTTGATTGACAGGCTACACTAAGGTATAATTCCAAACACCTTAGTAATCTTACTCGATCATTGCTACAAAGACCGATTTTTTGCTCTATCTTAGCTGTAGGTTGGGAATGACCTTCTGACCTCTCACATCCATCCTGAAGTAGAAATCTTATATCCAACATAATCACCCTAGCACAGAAGGAGAGGAACAGTGGACAAACTCACAGTGACTCAGCTCCCAAGAGTGACCTTCTTCTCTGTCCACATATTTTTTTGGTCAAAGCAAGTAGTATGGTTCAGCCTGACAGGAGCAGGTGGAAAGTTTTTTGTCTAGACAGAAGTAATACAAGTTCTGTGCCCGTGGTCTGATATGTTGGCTGCTCTACTTAGAAGGCAGCAAGTAGTGTTCATTATGTAGCCTGGAATATTTTTAGAAAATAACAGCATACCTATAAACCAACACAAAACATGCTAACTGTGGAC